TACACTGAGTCATCTCCCTGGCCCTCACTGCTTTTCTTGTTCTGTCCCTTTCATTCTCTCTCCACTAACACCTTAGTTTCAGTAATTGTGTTTTCAGTTTCATCTTCTCCATTTGTTACTCTGTACACCTTCTGTTTATTTGCTGAGATGATTTTAAAACTTTACCCCTTTGTTCACTGAGGAACCTTTATGGTGTCTGCTTTAAAAGCATTGTATTTGTCTGTGCTATACTTGCATATCCAAAGCAGGCTTATTTTGGTTCATGGGTTTGAGATTCAACATCCTAATAGCTCTGTACAGTTTCTAGTGAGGGAGGGACCCTGAGCTAAACCATGCTGTGGTGGATACACTCAGGTCTATGTCTGTCTTTATCTCTTCTTCAGTCACTGGACTCTATCCTAATGACTGAATTACTTCCCAAAGACCTTACCTCTAAAAGCTATCGATAGATTATCTACACTTTAACCCCATTAACTTCTGACTGGTGTTTAAACTCTCGTATGAGTTCTGGGAGAAGGGCAAGGTCTGTTTAGACCCTTGTGAAATAATCCTATCTTCAGTGTCCTCTCTGTGTGCAGACAGGTGGCGATCCTTTATCATTCGCATGCCTTACCTGTCTCTAAGCCCTAGGTTTTTGTGACTGGAACTGAGCTCTGTATTACTCTTCTGTCTACATGGTTTATGATATTTTCCCTCCATGATCTGTCTCCCCTCAAATATTGTCACAGTGACTGAGCCCTTATGGTGCTATCGTGAGGTCATTCCTGTTGGCTGCACTGTTGGCTGCATTTGCCACATTACTTAAGTGGTCTGTTTTATCTTTTGTTGGGTCCACACACTCTCTCTTTAGCATGCCTAGTGTAAGCAAGGATGCAGTAAAACCAAAATTTAGACCATTCCATAGGCAGAAAGAAAGGCTTATTGGGGAGCCAAACTGCCAGGGCTATAGCAGGATCAGGGGAGAACAGCAAAAAGGTGGAAGAAACCTTGACAGTTTTAAGGGTACAGGTAGCAGTCATGGATGATTGTGAACCAGAACAGCCTGGGAGTTAGAGTAAAGGGAGGTGTGGCATGGGTCTGAACAGCCTGGGAACTAGCTTGGGGACTTTAATCTGTTGCAGACTTGTTTAAGCTAATCAGGAACTAGATGCCCCTGCCAGAGGCAGTTGGCTAGAAGGGGCGGATAAGGATAAGGGAAGTGATGGCTTTTCCTGACAAACAGAAACCCGCTTTACAAGGTTTCTGAGGAATGCTGAGTTTAGGCTTTGTTTACCTGATAACAATCCTCTGTTTACCTGGTCAGAGTCCAGCCTGAGCTGAGCCCAGACTTTCTTTCAGGACGTGGTCAGCAGCACTGCTATTTGAGGGCCTGCTTTGGAACACCTGTAATTTCTTTATATTTCTGTCGCAGTAGCCTTATCCACATAAACAAGTTTCTCTACTTAGAGGGTAAATGAGCCTTACTCTGACTATTCCACACGCCAAGGATACTCTAAATCCTGCTCTTCATCCACCAGAAGCTTTCATCTGGTGGGAAAAGAGAGACGCCTTTGTAGCAGAAGTGGTGTGCACTGAATATGAATGTCCCATGGTCCCCGGCTGCTGGTGCAGTTTTGAGAGGGTCTGGGAATTTTGGTGGAGAGGCCTAGCTGGTAGAAGTAAAGTAGGTCACAAAGGTTTCTTGGGAGTGTCTTGTCCTTGGCCTCCCCCCCCCCCACTCTGCTCCCTGTCTACCACGAGGTAAAAAAAGCCATTCTACCACTTGTTCCCATCAACATGATGCTCTGTCCAAGCACACCAAGCCGTGCAACCATGGGCTAGACTTTCCAAAACTGCAAATCAAAAGCAATCTTTCTTCAGTTTGTTTCTGCTAGATATTTTGTCACAGAGAAAAGTCATATAAGCTTTAGGGAATGAAGACTGATTGACTAGTGAGTGAGTAAAGTGATATGATATTTGATACATTCTCAGAGTTTCCATCCCTGTTTAAATCCATCTACTTTCATTTTGTTATGTTTTGTTTCTTGAGAAAGGGTTTCTCTGGTGTAACAGTCCTGGCTGTCCTGGAACTCACTCTATAGGCCAGGCTGACCTCGAACTCAGGTGCTGGGATTAAAAGTGTGGACTACCACACCTGGCTCTCAACTTTTTCTATTAGAAGCTGCCATGGTCTGAATTGTGTCCTACAAAGTTTATAAGCTGAAGCCCTGATTGGAGGAGGTCACGTACTTGGAGGCTGGGTCTTTCAGAGGTAATTAAGTTAATTAGTTCACTATGGTAGTCCCCTGTTCAGTCTGACTGTGGTCCCGATAAGAGGACAGACACAGACAAAACAGAGGGCCTGCCTGCCTTATGAGAACACAGGAAAAAGATGCTGACTGCATACTAAGGAGAGGCCTAAGGAGGAGCCAGCTGCTGGCACCAGACACTCTGACTTCAGCCTCCAGGACTGTGATGAACAACTTTCTTTTGTTTATACTCTTCTCTGTGGTGTTGCTCTGACAGCTGGAGGTGCCCTGAGCATATTAGTCATCTGTGTAAATTCCCTATGTTGTGTCTGCATCTGTATCTGATGCTCAGTCTCTCCTCACACCTCTTCTTTTTAAAGATTTATGTTATTTTATTTGTTACTATTTGTTTTATTTTATCCTATGGGATTTTGCCTATATGGATGTCTGTGCACCTCCTGCACACAGAAAAGGGCATCTGATTCTCTGGAACTGAAACTGCATGTTGTGAGGTGCCATGTGGTTGATTGGACCTGGACCCAGGTCCTCTGCAAGATCAGTGAGTGCTCTTACTGGCTGAGCCCCTTCTTTTTCTTCTTATTATGCCATGTAAAGTTTTTGTTAAAATCTGGTTAATAATCAACAGGGCAATGCTCCTGAATAATGACATTTATTTGAGACCAGCCAAGGACTGCAATGGGAACAGGTGTGTCCTAATAAACTATGGCATGATAAAGGGCTAAGGCAAGGGGAAGTTTTCAAAAATAAAGTGAAGATTGCATAAGATCTTGTGAAACAATACTCCTTGGCTACAAGGATCAATACAGTGACGACAGTCCAAGGCGGCAGGCTGTCTTTGTAGAAATACCTTCTGGGCAAGTCTACAGTGGCCTCAGTGCAAACTGGTCCCAATAGTCTGTTGTGAATGGCGCTTGCCATTAGGCATGCCATCGTAAGACCCCCCCTTCTTAATTGTGAGACCACCTTCATACCATCCAAGCATTATTGATTAATTTGGTTTGAACTTGACAGCTCAATACAGTACTCTGTTTTGATTTTTACAGCTTTTATAGGGAGCATGTTTTATTGGGTAACAGGAACTGAGGGAAATAGGCCTTTACATTGAGATTTTCTATTAATCTAGCTGGGATTTAGGCTGGGTCTGATGTTGATGCTCTTGTTTCTTCTCCCATTGCCTTTCTGGTTTCCTGGGACTTCTCCCTGAAATGGGATCTGTGCCTGGCAGTTCTCTCGGCTGTAGACCCCATGTTACTGTACCTTGTAGTTGCAGTTGGTGTGAAGTATAGGTGCGGGAGGGGATCAGAAATGTTGTCAAAAGACAAAATCTCAGTCGTAGTGGCATGTATCTCTGGGTTGTGGCTGTCACCAATATTTCTGCTCTAGTTGAGTCAGGGTTTTCTTCAGGTTGACTAGGCCCTGGAATCTTTTCCTGAGGACCAGCTTTACTATGTAGAGTATCCAGGGCATGGTGCAAGATAAGGGGTCTTCCTTTCCCTGTCACAGCTGCCAGATCACCATGAGAACCTGGTGAGAGTCCTATGCAACCCGGTCCCCATGGCTCTAGCTGTTTCTTTTCCAGGGAAGTAGATCTCACCGACTCCAGATTTCACAGTGATGGTTAGGTTGGACTCCAGCCCTCTGATGAGTCAAAAGGTCACTGATTTTGTTGTGAGGATGGAGGGATCGTTTCTAGGTGCTGTGCATGTCACTGATGAACCTGCTCAGCTGAACTGAGGAAGAAGGGCATTTGAAATAGGGAAAGGTGTACTGGGTGAAAGGACAGAGGCTTACTGGGGAAAGCAAAGGCAAGCCAGTGTTCCTAGTGTTTAGAAAGGACACCGCACAACATGAGGGGGAACTGTGGGGAAGCAGTCGAGCTGGTTGGGTAAGGCTTCTTCTGCCATACATAGCGCTGTGCTTTTATCTCCAATGCGAAGCAGAGAGGAGTCCTTTGAGTTCCATTTAGAAAGTGTCATTCTTGCCACAGGAAGATGCAGGAGCTGAGTGCTAACTGAGGAGGCCTTTGTAGCTCAGTGGGCAAGGGAGCTCTGTCTGGGGTGTGGTCCTTGTGGGCTTTAGGTTATGCTGGGAGGAAAAGCAGGCAAGATTTCTGATGAATAAGAGAGTCAGTACCCACATCTCTTTCTGTAGCTGTCTGGTGAGGAACATGGAGAACTGTGAATTGGAATTTGATGTTGTGCAAGCAGATATGGTATCAGGTTCCCAAGGTGAGCTTTCTAGAAGGTTTGTCAATAGGAAACCCAGAATTCAGAGAGAGAGGAGTGTTAGAGAAACAAAGTTGAGCATCACTGGAAAGCATGTGGGATTTGAAGACTTGCCATGGGTGAGGCGGTCACCTAAGGAGAAAAGGGAAGAGAAGGACACCGGGACAGAGGCAAGTGCGTGGAAGAGGACTAGGGAGGAGGACATGCTGCAGAAGCCATGGAACAGGTCTTCCCGATCATCTTCTAAGGATGGGAAGTGGGGGTTAGCTGTATCAGAGAACTAAGTAAGAACTGAGCAATAACAGTGTGGAGATCAGTGGTGACCCTGAGAGGTACCACGTCAGGGAGTGAAGAGACAGCAGTGTGACTGGCAGGTAAAGGAGCAGTGTGAGGCGGAGCAGGAATGTGGCAACAACAGCCAATCCCTAGAGTATTCTAGAAAGAAGCAAAAGGCAGGCAGGATCTGGGCATGAATTGGGGCTCTGGAGGATGGCTTTTCACCTTTTCCCTGTTTTCTCAAAGTTTGGAAGCACAAGGCTCAAGCTGCTGCTGGGCTAGACTCTTGGGTGTCCGTGGTGTCTTGGAAGTAGCCAGTGATCCCAGAGGAGGATGATGTACAGGTGTACTCTGAGAGCTCGGCTGTTGCCTGGAAGTCCTGGTAGGAACAAGTGTGGTTGCAGTTCAAACACATGACCTTGTCTCAGGTGAAGGAGAAGGCCTGCTGGATTCCTTCAAGATAGTTTTAAGTATTAAATACATTGAATGGTTAAAAAAATCATAAATTATTACTAATATGTGGACAGAGATGATTTTTTTTGGTGATTGTGAAGAATTTTTATTATACATTCAGTGTATATTCTCAAGTTAATTTACTTGTGATTTGGAATATGAAATCTAATATATAGAATATGTGCATAGAAATGGTATTCTCATTAAATTAATTCATATTTTATTTAAAAGATTTGTGCAGATTCATTTATTATTTCCATATTAGAGTCCTGCTGGTCCCTCTCATATGCCCTGGGCACGCTGCTGCTTGCCTCTTACTGGGCACTGGGGGTAGGATTCTCAGGTTTTTCCTGTAACAGCCTTCCTGAGAAACTTCTTAACATTGCTTGTTGACTCCTAGTAACAAAGAAAGACAGTCTTCTGTCATCCCACTATCCCAGAACAGTCATAGCTTGAGTCAGATTAACGTTTTTCTTTTGCATATTATGGTTGCAGTTATTCAGCCCTAGTCTTACATTATTTCCTTGTCTTCCAGGTTCTTATATTAGCTAATATTTTTTTTCATTTTTCTATAATTTTCTTTATTATTATTATGTGGTTTTAAATTCTATTAAAATTTTTAAATGCTTTATTATTGTTATTTTTTTAATATCCAGACCTCAGTTTCCTCTCCCGTCTCTCCTCCCAGTCCCTCCACTGCACCTCCCCTCTTTCCACCCCCATCCACTCCTCTTCCATTTCTATTCAGAGAAGGGAAAGCCTCCCATGGTTATCAACCAAACATGGCATACCAAGTTGAAGTAAAACTAGGCACCTCCCCTCATATTAAGGCTGGATAAGGCAACCCAGTAGGAAGAAAGAGTCTGAAAAGCAAGTAACAGAGTCAGAAACAGCCCCTACTTCTATTGTTAGGAGTCCCTCAAGAAGACCAAGCTACACAGCTGTCATACATGTATGTATAGGGCCTAGATCAATCCCATGCAGGCTCTGTGAGCTCCAGTGAACTAGGTTAGTTGATTCTGTGGGTTTTCTTGTGTCTTTAATTCCCCCCCCCCCGACTCCTACAATCCTTCCTCCCCATCTTTTGCAGGATTCCCTAAGCTCCTCCTGATGTTTGTCTGTGGGTCTCTACATTTGTTTGCATCAGTTGCTGGATGAAGCTTCTCTGATAACAATTGACTAGGCTCCAATCTATCTATGAGTATAGCAGAATATCATTAGGCATCATTACATTGCCTTTCTTTTTTTTTGCCAGTCATATTTGGTTCTCTCCTAGGCTATCCTGCCTCTGGGTCCTGGTGTACCAGGCAGTGTCAGGGATGGGATCCCTCTTATGGAATGGGTCTCAGGCTGGACCAGTTATTGGTTGGCCACTCCCACGATTTCTGTGCCACCTAATTTACCCCAGCACATCTTGTAGGCAGGACAAATTGTAGGTCAAAAGTTATATGTCTGGGTTGGTGACCCAGTCCCTCCACTGGAAATTTTGCCTGGTTACAGGAGATGGCCAGTTCAAGCTACATATGACCTGTTGCTAGGAATCTTAGCTGAAGTCATTCTTGTAGATTCCTGGGAGTGTCCATTGCACTAGGTTTCTACCTCACCCTAAAATGGCTTCCTTTTCCAGTTGTCTCTTCCAGTACTCTGCCCCTCCATAACCCCCTCCACCTACCCCTTCTGTTCCCATTTCCACCCATCCCCAGTCTACCGTTAAAATCTATTTTTCCTTTCCCGGGAAGATCCAACTGTCCTCCCCTTAACTCTCCTTGTTACTTAGCTTCTCTGGGTCTGCAGAGAAGCAGCATGGTTATCCATGCTTTGTAGCATAATTATCCTTTACTTTATGACTAATATCCACTTATAAGTGAGTACATACCGTGTTTATCTTTTTGGGCCTGAATTACCATCCAATTGTTTCTAGTGCCATCCAATTGCCTGTAAATTTCATGATGTATTATTTGTTTGTTTGGTTGGTTGGTTGGTTTTTGGTTTTTCGAGAGAGGGTTTCTCTATATAACAGCCCTGGCTGTCCTGGAACTCTCACTTTATAGACCTAGCTGGCCTTGAATTCACAGAGATCCTCCTGTCTCTGCCTTCCCGAGTGCTGGGATTGAAGGCATGGGCCACCATAACTGGCAATGTCATTTTTTAAAACAGCTAAGTAATACTCCATTGTGTAAATGTGCCACATTTTCTTTATCCATTCTTTAGTTGAAGGACATCTAGGTTGTTTCCAGTTCCAGGCTGTTTCAAGTAAAACTGCTATGAACATATTTAAACAAATGTCCTTGTGGTATGATGGGCCATCCTTTGGGTATATACCCAAGAGTAGTTATAGCAGCTAAGGTAGATTGTTTCCCAGTTTTCTGAGAAACCACCATTTGATTTCCAAAGTGGCTGTACAAGTTTACACTCTCACCAGCTATAAGTTCGATACCAACCTGGTCTACAGATCTACTACAGGCTCTGTTAGTCAAGTCACAAGACCTTGACTTCTTTTTAAATTAGCTCAGCTATCCCAGTCTTTTGCCTTTCCAAATAAGCTCAAGAGCAGGTTGTTGATTTTAAAACTTTATGTATTTGTTTTATGTATATGGGTTTATGTGTATCTGCGTACCATGTGTCTGCCTGATGCCTGCGGAGGCTAGTAGGGTACACTGGAGTCCCTGGAACTGTAGTTACAGACATTGCCAACCACCATATGGGTGCTGGGAATTGAACCTAGGTCCTCTGTAAGAGCAACCAGTGTTCTTAACTGCTAAACCATCTCTCTAGCTGTGGTTTGTTGATTTTTACAAAAATGTTTACTGGGACTTTGGTTGGAATCACATTGAGTATGTTGGTAAAGTTGAAGAGGTCTGACATTGTAAGCGTCTTATCCATAAATGTTACTATGTGCTGGTTGACTTGGTCCTCAGTGGGTGGCACTACCTGGAGATGAAGGAAACTTAGGAGATGGGGCCAAGTTGAAAGAAGTAGGTCACTTCAGGGAGCTTGCTTTCGAAGGAGACTGTGGAACTTTGGCCCCTTCCTTTTCCTCCCTTCATTTCCTATCAAGAGTGAGGTGAGCTGCTTCTCTTACCATGTACTTTCACTATGAAGTGTTACCTCATCATAGGCCCCGAAACAACCAGTCCAGACTGCCAGTGAGCCTCGTGTGAGTTTCTGCTGAGCAGAAAACTAGTCTCAACATAGGACATGTCTTCATTTCATTGCCTCCGGTCCTTTGGTGTCATGCGGGTTTTATCTTTGGAAGCTTCCAAACAGTCTATGTGACTTTTGGCCCAAATTTTATAACCTTTTGTCATCTTTAGTGTCTTCCTTTAAAAATTTGATTTCCAGTGCTTTTTATTGTCAATGTGTGGATAAAATTAATAATCTTTATGTGCTGACCTTGTAATCCTGAAACTTCATAAAACTCAGTTCCAGTGGCTTTTGCATCTTTTGAGATGTTCTATACAGGAGTCACATCATGTAGAAATAGAGACAGTTTCAGTTCTTCCTTTTCAGTCTGCTTGTCTCTGTCACAGAGGTTAAAATCTCTAATGTGATTTCGATGGACGTTGTAAGGATGGTGGCCTTGCTTCTTAGAGAAGCATTTGGTCTACTATTATGTGTGATATTGTCCACCTGGTTTTTGTAGCTGCCCTCAATATGGTTCAAAATATTTTACTCTGTTCTTGATTTGATGAACATTTTTATAATAAAATAAATATTAAATTTACCAAAGGGCTTGTCAGCCTTTGGTTGAAAAATAAGTATTCTTTACTCTAAGTTATAAGATATATTGGCATAATTAAATGCTGAGCCCATTTAGCATTCCCAGAATGCTAATATATATTAGTTTTGAAGTATTGTCTCTATATTTTCCTGGATCTGATTTGCTAATATTTTGTTCAGAATTTTCACAAAAGATGTGGGTCTGCTATTTACTCATAAATATCCTTGTTTAAAAAGTTGAGATTTGTCCCTTTTTTCTTTCTTCTGTAAATCTTTTTAAAAAAAGTGTGTGTGGCGGTGGCGGCTGGTGGGGGGTTTGGCACCTGAGTGCAGTGTCTACAAAGCCCAAAGGGTGTTGGATCCTCTGGAATTGGAGTTACAGATGGTTGTGAGCCAGTTAATGGGTGCTGAGAACCAAACTTGAGTCCTGGAAAAGCAATGAACACTCTTAACTGCTGAGCCAATCTCTCTAGTTCCATCTATTTTCTAGAAGGCCTATATAGAATTTCTTCTTTAAAAATGTGTGATAGGACTTATAAATGAAGCTGTCTGTGTCTGGATTCTTATTCATTATTTAATCATCTTTAGCTACAAATTCAATTTTCTTAGTAGATGTAGGATTAATTTAGGTTATTCAATCTAAAGAAAAAAATCAGTGTACTTTGAGAGTTTTTTCTTATAGACAATTTATTCATTCATCTAATTTTTAAAATTATGGATAGAAAATTGTTTATATCCCTTCTGATTTCTTTACTATATGTTGAATTTGTAGTTAAAGCCATTGCCTTATTCTTGATACTTATTTCTGACTTCTCCCCCTTTCCACTAGTCTGACTAGAGTTTGACTAATTTTAGAAATTACTTTTTAAATGACAAGCTTTTGCTTTTACTGATTTTTTTCCTCTTGAATTAATTTTATTTATTTATCTTTTTGTTTTTCATTTGGTGGTCTTTGAGACAAGAAACTCACTGTGTCTCCTTGGATATCCTGAGATTTAAAGTTCAGTTTTGCCTTAAACTCACAGTGGTTCTCTTGCCTTAGCTGTGAAGTTGCGGGCATTGAGCCACCATGCCCAGCATCTTTATTCTCAACTGTATTTCCACACATATCTGTATTATTTTTACCTTTATGTGTTTTGGTTTATTTTTTCCCCTCAGTTTTAAAGATTAAAGCAAAGATATCTAGAAATGATTCTATCTTTAATATCTATACTTAGAAGTATGGTGTTTGAAGATTTTTAAAGATGTCTTTATGGTCTTGGTTATAGAACTCTGTATATTTCCAGCTTAATCCCTGTGATCACAATACATACTTTGGAGTCATTAAATTATTTTGAGATTTGCTCTGTGACCCTGAATAGGTGTTTCTATTGGTGCTGTCCCATAGGTCCTAGGGAGGAATCTCTTATGCTAATTTTGGGTGTAGTGTCATCTAAATGGCAGAGAAAGTAGGATGGTTGCATTGTTTAGAAATTCTATCCATGTGTGATGACCCTTAATCCTAGCTAATCTCTGTGAGTTCGAGGCCAGCCTGGTCTACAAAGTGAGTTTCAGGACAGCCAGGGCTTTCTATCTCCTTATTCATTTTGTTTCATCTTAAAAACAAACGAAGAAGCCAATGATAGGATAGTGTTAAAGTTCCCAGATTTGGTTGTGACTGTTGATTTTCCCTGGGCACTCTGCCCTATGTGCCTTATCTCTGGACACTCTGTTGTTAAGTACATACATATTCAAGAGTGTTAAATATCTGAATGCATTGAACTCATAATTATTCAATACCACTTCATTCTTTTTTGTTTTTGTTTTTCAAGACAGGTTTCTCTATAGCTTTGGTGCCTGTCCTGGAACTGGCTCTTGTAGAACAGGTTGGTCTTGAACATACAGAGATCCACCTGCCTCTGCCTCCCAAGTGCTGGGATTAAAGGCGTGTGCCACCACTGTCCAGTCCTCTCTTTATTCTTGATACTTCTTGTTCTGAAATACTAGATACTGATGGCCATGTCATAAGAACAGCAAGTGGCAATTTAAGTTCATGGTGTCAGCCCACCAGGAGGAAAATTCTCTGATCAGTGATCCTCATTAAGCAAGGTTGCCAAGCTACAGCCTCCTGAATGCCTTTTGCTTCTGTTGTGCCTTTATTTGTTGTTGCTACAATCTTTCCCTGCTATCTGGCATGGTGTGAGTGATGTGGAGAGAGGGCATTTTTAATCTGTGGACTGTCAAGAAGATGACCCATTTCTAAGCAGTACTGTCTAATTGACAATTATAATGGTAGCTTATACAGAGTTTTGATGAATAAAAATATATTCAAGAATATGTTTCACAGCTAAGGCCTATGATTTCCACTTAAGGAGCTGTTTTAGATCAGGGCTCTGGTTAACAATCAAGGCAAACATTTGAATTTCCCCAGGAGCCAGGCTGGCTCTAATTTTCTTAATGCTGAAAAGACTCAGTCACAGATTTCAGTGTGCACCATTAACAGAAACAAAGCTTTAAAATAACTTTAAGTTAGACCAGAGGATTTGTTAATGGTTTGTAAGAAAATCCGTCCCAGAAGAACAATCTTAAAATTTATAAAGACGTATAGCTGAGCTGTCTGATTTGTTGGCCAGGATTGAAAGAGCAAAGCAACCCGATTGCTGGATGTACTTTCCTTACTAGGTCTGGTTGATAACCTAGGGCAATGATTAATTCTGCACAGATTCCTGACCTCAATTTTTTGATATGGGTGTGTACCCTGAAGACTGAAAGTTCAGCCAACTCACTTTTTATAGTAGAGAACCGAGGTCTAGAAACAGAAACAGCTTTTGTTCAGAAACACTTCAGGGAAACAGATTCTAACTGGTCAGGGCTACAGAGCATAATTTGACTCTATAGCCCCATGAAAGGACCAGAAATTTCTTTTTGTGGTCAAGGGTTACACATAGGGCAGATTTAAAGCGCTATAATGTCACAGTGTCTTGGGAGTGTCAATTCGAGCTGAAGCTAAGAGATTTACCGTATCTCAGGAATGTTGATTTGAGCCTGAATTAGAGGATTTATGACATGCCAGTGTCTCCTGTGTCTGAAACTTAGCACTTTCTGGACACTTTGGGGTCTGAGAAAATCCAGAATTTACGACTCCTGAATACAAGGTGTTAGTTATGTTTATATAGGATATCAGTGCACAGTTTTAGCATTTTCACTAGTTTAGGTTAATGACTCTTTTAAAATTTAAGATTACCTCTCAGGATAGATAATAAAGTGACTGATTCTTTACAACCACAATGTGCAGTCTGCCAATGAAAGAAAAAAATGCTTCTTTCTTGCTCTGTGACGCTCACCTGTAGTGCGTGTGAGTCGTCAGGCTAGTCCTTCTCATCTACAGTCACGTGTGACTCCTGCACTGCCTGGAAGATTTCTGTGAGCTGTATACGCTGTGGGGAAAGAGAGAATGGAGAATTAAAACAGGAACCATCAAGAAAGTGTGTGAATGTCTTTTTCCCCTAACAAAGTCTCAGCTTTTCAGTTGTGCCAACGCTGTGGATTTTCCCTTCGAGCCCTATGCAGCCTGGAGGCTGGTCTCCCCGACTGAAGTAGCAAATGAAGACTATGATACTAACATAAACACCATACCTTTCTTGCAGCTAGTGTTTGTGAGACACAATTTTGTTACTTAAACATTGTATATTGGTTTTTGAGACAGGCTGTCTCATCGTGTGCCCAAGCTGGACTGGGACTTGTTTCCGTCCTGCCTTGGTCTTCTCACAGCTGTTGTTACAGGTGAGACTCCAGTTCTTTTGATTCTTATGTTCATCTCTAGAAAGCATCTAGAGACTTTCTTCCATATCCAGAGTGTGCTCTGTCTCTTGTGTTTATGTGATTTCTAAAAACACTTTAAAATTTATCTTTTTACTGTGTATATGTGTGCTTGCTTGTCTGTATGTAGTGCCTGTGGAGGCCATAGAGGGCGCCTAGTTTCTTTTAATGTTACTATTAGATAGCTTAACAATTAAGAATACTTACTGTTCTTGCAAAAAGCCTGAGGTCAGTTCCATTACTTATATATCAGGTGACTCATAACAACCTTTAACTGCTGTTCCAGGGGATCTGACACCTTTTTCTGGCCTGTATGGGCAGCTGCACACACATGGCATACAAATACATATAAGTAAAAATAAAATCTTTAAGGTAACCACTGAAGTACAGAAAGGAGGAACCATGGGTAACTGATGACTTCTGGAGCAGAAACGTCAGTGTTCTTCAGATGTAGCCCCTGAGAAGTTACCACGTTCCCCTGGGTAGCCCCATATTGCTTTTTTAAAGATATTCTTTTTTAAAGACATAAGGGTGGACTGGGGGAAGGGCGGTCCCAAGGCCAGTCCCACTCCCACGAGTGGTAGAGGCGGGTAACCTGAGGCCTCAGTGGGTCACCTTGGCAGGTGAAAGACAGACATACAGCATGCAGAGAGGCAAGTTTATTTAGTGAGTTATGGAGGGGAAAGGAGAGAGAGAAAAAAGGGAGAGAGGAAAGAGTGGGGAGAGAATAAAGAAGGGGAGAGAGAACAAGCAGAAGTTACCTCTTCAGGAAAGAGAAGGAAAGAAAGAGAGCATAGGCTGGAGGAGGCAGGCTGCTTCCCTCCGTGGAAGGAGAGGGGTTGGGAGAGGGAGGGGCTTGTCTCTTAAAGGGACAGGATACCCAGGTGACAGACCAGGCCAGCAGATCATAACATTCCCATCTCTTTCTTACAATAAAAAGATGGGAAGTTAGGCATAACAGGTTAAAAGAATTAGGATGGCTGATTCTCAAGACTGCTTCCTGCTTATTTGTGGGTGTTATCTTCCCGGGAGAACCTGAGAAAGGTGGGTGCTGGTCACATCCTGGGTTAGCTGGTTGCTTTACTCCTGTCCAGGGTTTGGAACTGTCCAGTGTCTCTTCTTGGACCTGGCAAGGTGTTGGCAGAACAGAGGACAAAGTTAAGTTTAGGAAGATAAAAAAAAATTTTCAGCACCAGGGAATTGAGAGGGGTGTATCTGACCTGTTTAAGGTGGATCCTTCAGTTTGGCTCCCTGGAACTCACAAGAATTCTTTGGGTTTTGGTAAGTTCCTCAGGAGGGAACCGGTGGAGGCCCTTGCTTATCTAAATGCCTGACCTTGGGAAAAGGACTTGTGGGAAGCAGATACTGACTCTTCAGGTTTCTTAGTCTTACTAGGTGGACCTGTTCTCCTCAGAATGCTCCCAAAAGGGAAGGTCATGACTTCTTACCCTTTTCCCATGACACCTTACCCTTCTGACCATTCTGTACGGATTAATAGAACTCTTGCCTTTAATGACCTCAGGCATTTCATCCCTGTGTCTAGTCAATTCCTGACATTCCTTCTAACATTTCCGTTCTTGGTGTAATTAGGAGGAATTACACAGTGAAATTTCTGGTTCTGTGGTGTCACGGATTTTTCCCCCAAAGAAGTATTTTGTTAAGGGAGGCTACCATTATACACACTTTTATCCTCTACCAAAAGCCCACCCCCATAAAATTTTCCAGAGGGAAATGTATTAATACTGAGAATCACTAGAAATGAAAATAAAAAGGTGCTGGAGAAGTATGGTCTGCAATGTAAAAATGCTAGAATGTTGTCAAACAGCAATGGTCACCATGTAGTCCATGTCCCTTCCTCTTGACCCACAGGCCCTCTTCCACTGCATACTTAATAAAATAAACAAATACGTGAACAGATGAATGAAAGAAGAGTTAAAGAAAGGAAGGAAGGAAGGAAGGAAGATCCTTTGGAAGGCTTGTACTGATAAGAAAGAGGTGCTGATTGTAAGCATGGCTCCTGATACAGTCCTCAACCCACGGGGTATCCACCAGAGAGAAACTGTTAGAATTTATCCTGGTTAAAGAATTTTTTGACTTGGGCTATTATTTTGGTATATTTTTCAGAGGTTGTTCTACCATAAACAGGGCCAGGTTCTGTAACTCCTGTGCAGCATTCAGATGGAAAGCAAAGGAATGCCGTGTGGCGCTTGTAGCCTGTGTGCGGTGGTTTGAATGAGAAAGGCCCCCACGGGCTCCCACATTTGATTTCCAGGTGGTGGACTGGGAAGGATTAGCAGGTGTGACCTGTTGGGGGAGCCTCTCCTTGGTGTTTTTTTGAGGTTTCTAAAACCCACGCCAGGCTCTGCTTCCACCTTGTGAATAGGATGTGAGCTCTCAGCTATTGCAACAGCACTATGCCTGTCTGCCTGCCAAGTTTCCTGCCGTGATGGTCCTGGAATAACCTCTGAAACTGTAAGCAAGTTAAATGCTTTCTTTTGTAAGCAGCCTTGGTCATGGTGTCTCTTCGCAGCAATAGAATAGTAGCAAAGACACTGTGATATTGTCCACCTCAAAGACCCTGAGTAGACTCTATGTTGTGGCTGAGGGATTTGCCACAGTTGGAGTGAACTTGAGAGGTACTGCCTCCTGAAACAATTGTAGAAGTAGATGTAATGGATTAATAAAAAATGCTGCGGATCCCGGAGTAGCTGCAGTGGCAGAAAAACTGCAGTTCCCCGAGTGGCAGCAGGCAGCGGGTCCTGAGAGCAACCAGTCTCAGGCAGGGACAGCACAGTTCCCGGAGTGGCTGCAGCAGGCCATGAGGAGAGACAGACAGACAAAGCAACTGGTCCCGGGCAGGTCACGCAGTGAGTGAGAGAAGAGACATGGATAGGCACGCCATGCAGAATGAGGTTGGATATTTAGGGGGAAGGAAGAAGAGGAGGAAAGGGAAGGGGAGGAGAGAGAGGAGGGGGAGAGGGCAAGGGAAGAAGTGGGAGAGAGGGAGAAGCTGCCTCTTGGAGAGGAGAGGGAGACAGAAAAGAGACCCAGTCTGGAAGCTGAAGATCAGCCTGCCTCGGTGGGCGGGGTGGGGGTGGGGTGGGCATGGCTTGTCTCTTAAAGAGACAGGACAGATCATTATAGTAGGCAGTCTAGCAAACATGGGAAGCCCATGTTAGTCTGCTCTGCATAATGTGATTATTGTCTTAAAGGGAAGAAAGTCTTATTTTGTCTCCTTCTGTGAGATGCTTCAGTCTTTGGTCAGTTGGCCTTGTTGCTTTAGGTTGTGACAGCAGGATATGTCTGTTTACCACGTAGCAGCTAAGAAGCAAAGAGATAAAGGGATTTGTGTCCCAATATCCCCTTCAAGAGCGTGTTCCTTATGATCTAACTTCCTCCCATTAAGTGCTACTCCCTAAAGTTTTCACCACCGCCCAAGAACACCCCAGGCTAACAGCCAAATATTTCACATGGGAGCTTTAGGGGACACAGCAAACCTCTTAGGAGCCCTGAGATTTCTAGTTCAGTGGGTTTTAAGATTTATTTTATGTGTATGAGTGTTTTGTCTGTCTGTATGTATGTGCACCAGATATGTGCCTGGTACCTGTGGAGGTCAGAGGAAAGTATTGGATCCCTTGGAATTGGAGTTATGGATGGTTTGAAATACCATGTGGGTTCTGGGAATTGAACCCAGGTCCTCTGAAAATTAAAGTGCTCTTAACTACTGAGCAATCTCTCTATGCTTTAGTGTTTTAAATGATATAGTCATGACATTTAAAGATGGCTGCTTATTAAAGGCGGTGATTGTGTTCAGTCATGAACATAGAAAGCTAGGCTTTCTGTTTCTGGACTAGCTCACAGCTCCTCTGTCAGACCTGTCATTCAGAAAGACCCCCTTTGGGGTGACTTCCTGAAGAGACTTTGCTTTTAACCAGCAGCATCTTCTCTCCCCAGATCCAGATGCAGAAGTGTGCCTTCATGCCTTGCGACTTATCCAGTCTGTGGTTCTAGAACCAGAGGTCTTCTCCAAGTTGGCTCTGGAACTCCGAAGCTCCTTACCCCTACAGCGCATCCTGGCCATGTCCAAGAGCCGCAACTCCCACCTGCAGACTGCTGCCCGGGAGCTCCTGGAAGACCTCCGTGCCCTGGACTGCAGTGTTTAAATGCACTTGACCAACAAGGGCTTGGTGAAAATGCCAGTGGCCCTTTCCCTCCCCAGGCCCTTTACCGTTGTGTTCACAACTAGATGGCACTGTGTCATGTGTTAGCCATCGAAGGCCTTGACTGACTTAGATGCACATGATGGGTAAGGTAAGCATCGTGCATTTCCATCCTAGGAGGCCACACTTGTTAGATACTTGGTTATGGTTAATCTTGCCAGAGCAGTAACCAAAAAAGGTTGTATTCTCCAGTAAGAAGTCCTCTCTGAACACATGGAAACTCTTCCAGAGCTTTCTCAGAGTAGCTTCTTGCTGTCCTAGAGGCTGCCCACACCAATAGGGTCACTCTAAAGATGGGACCATGTGATCAGTGTTTCCCAGAAGCATTTCAGTAATAGCTCATCCTCTTTTTCTAGTCACCGTAGCCCCTACTACACAGGCTTACTTTTGTAACCTTTGGATGAACCTGTTATTTTACATGACACTGGACATTTGAACTCTGTTTTGGTGCTGCTTTTATTTTTGAATAAAGTTGAGTCAATATTAGCTATTACATTGTAAAATACAATCTTGCATTTAGAAGTTGGTGTCCTTTGTATATTAACAATGTCATTTGTATAGCAAAACACACTTTCCTTACTTTGTTCTGGCCCTTTGTGAACTTAAAACAAGTATAGGAAAATGACCTCAAGATAAGAAAGATGAAAAGTAAATTCCATTAAGCCATCTACCTGCCTTTGCACTCCTGTGGTATGTGTGTGTGTGTGTGTGTGTGTGTGTGTGTGTGCAGCCATCACACTAGCTTATGTTCTGAGACACTGGCAGAGAACATAAAAAAACATGCTGTACCTGTCACAGACGGAGAAGTGTGCGAGAGAATTCCATTTAAGTCAGCATGTCATTCTTTCTCTGGGTTGCTTCCTTGAAGACAGGGCAAGTTACTGCAGGACATTGAGCTTGGCCCCCTGTAAGGGAAGATGTGAATCTCTGTGTCCCCATGCAGTGGCAGCCTCAGCACACGTTGAGCTGTTTCTCTGTGTGTGGTGTTGTAGAATGACTTCATTGTCTTTTAAGAGAATATGTTTTTTATGTTGAACAAAGAACTCAGAGAAAGGTATGGCTGCTTGGATCTCACAAGACAGCCTTTTGTGGAGCACTAACTCAGCAGAGCCAGGGAGATACAAAGCAGCTTAAGATTCATGGAGGGAGATGTGGGTCTTTCTGTGCTTGGTTGCTTGGTTGCTTGGTAGGTCTGGTTCCAATTAAAAATGAATGAGTACAGCAGGGTGGTGGTGGCACACGCCCTTAATTCCAGAACTCAGGAGGCAGAGGCAGGCGCATCTCTGTGAGTTAGAGATCAGCCTGGTCTACAGAGTGAGTTCCAGGATAAGCTCCCAAGCTACACAGAGAAACCCTGTCTGGAAAAAACAAACAATAACAAAAACAAAGCCAAAAAGTAAAAAATGAATGCACACTTCAAAATGGCATTCCCTTGTTTCTACTTGCTACTCATCCTAGCAGGGGGAAGCTGTTGTGCTTCTTTCGCGATTGCTGAGATTGCTCTACCAAAAAAAGTCTAGCTTTCTGTAGATAAGAAGAAACTGCCAGCCCTATGAATACCATGTGGGTTGGGAGTTATTAGATGGTCATGAGGGTAAGGACTTGATCATTTCTTCTCTTCTGAGGTAGATTCTAGGCAAGTGTTCCAGGCAGATTCTCCTAGAATTACTATGACGTGTTTCCTTTGTGAGTACCACAGGCTGTGCCAAAGGGCCTAGGCAAGGCCAGCAGGAAAGCATGGCTTCCTTAATTTTTTTTTTCTGTATCTAGTAAATTGTAGAAAACTCACTTAACTAAAAAATTAAAAATATACTTTGAAGCATATCCGTTGCAGGGACTGAACCCTTGTGCATTTAAAATCCAGAGCTCTTCTTCCTTGGCACCATCAACTTTTATGAGAAGGTGAGAAACCTGGCAGAGTAAGAGCCAGGCTGTACCAGTCCTCCCCGCTGAACCTCTCTGGCTCTGTTAATAGCACCAGCCTAGGCATCTGCTCTTCAGGTCTGAAAGTTGATCCTGGGTAATGCACAGAGCCATGCGAAGTCTCTGGAGACGGCTTTAGAGACCTGTCTCTTCTCTTCATGGGATATGACTGAAATAGGCCTGGTGTGAGAGATTCTAGTGACAGAGATATGCAGCCCATGTACCAGAAGCTAAAGCATGGAATAACAAGTTTGTGGCCAGAAGGAAACAATCACACCAAGGCTGCAAGTCAGTCCATGACCAAGGAGCAATGTGAAAAAGGTTGTAGAGTGCCTGCTATACCTGTTCTTCCAGGCCTGCTGTGTGCTACTGTGACATTATATGGAATGGGGAAGGATTGGCAAGTATCTTAAGGAGTCATTGTTTTATATCTTCCCATGGCATAGCTGCTTCGAGTGTCCCAGAAGGGCTTATTTGACCCATGATGATCCCAAGTAAAATCCTAGGGTAGCATGGGATGTAGTGCCAGACTCAGCATCCTACCAAGACAGCTCTAAAGATGGTGGGGATCCACTGAATGGTCTTTGGATACTTTTCTCAGTGCAAGCTGGGGGAGTGGGGTGGGCAAAAAACAGTTGGTATAGCCAGCCCCACAAATGTCACAACTGCCCCATGTCTGAGACTCGGCTGGCTCTGTTCCAAACATGTTCACTTTTGGACTTATCTGGGGATTTAGGATAAAAAGTTAGAGTGTGCTATACAGTAAAAACTGTCTTTGTGATTTTTTTACAAAGTTTTTAAAGTCACAAAATAAATTTAACATAAAAGCTTACCATTGTAAGTATAGAATTCAGCAGTATATCCATCACTACCCTCTGTTTGCACGACTTTGTTCTTATCTTAGGTAGAAAGATCCAGTAACTAACTCCCACTCCCCAAGCCTCTCTCTCCTAGCCCTTGGTGTTCCTGTTCTATTGTTGTGTCTGTGGGTTTAACTGAAACATTTGTCCCATTTGGTCTGGCTTATTTCCTCTACATAACGTTGGGGTTCATGTTTGTCTAGCATTTGTCAGAACCTCACTCTTGTAATGGCGATACAGCCATTTTTATATGACCGCAATGTATGTGTACAAAGGGCTGCTTGAGTTTCTGCTTTTGATTCTTTGGGTGTATTCTTTTTCTATTAATTAATTAATCAACTAACTAATTAATTAATGTGTTTTGGGGCAGGGTTTCTCTGTGTAGCCTTGGTGGTCCTGGAACTAGCTCCTGTAGACCAGGCTGGCCTCGAACTCACAGAGACCCGCCTGCCCCTGCCTCCAGAGTGCTGGGATTAAAGGCATGCGCCACCACTGCCCAGCTCTTTGGGTGTATTTTTAGTAGTGAAATTGTTGGACCATGTGGTAACACTATGTTTAATTGTTTTTGCTTGCATATGTATACGTAGTCACACATGCATGTATATGTGTGTTCAGGTGCATGTGTGACTTTAGAGGCCTAAAGTTGATATCGATGTTTCCCTCAGTCTTCACTATATATGAGGTGATATATATATATATATATATATATATAAAATCACCAAACCTGGAGTTTGCTGATTCCAGCTAGTCTAACTAGCCAGCTTGCCCTGGGGATCCCCTGGCTTTTCTTGCTGAGTGATAAGGATTACAGCAGCTGCCACACTACCTGTCTTTTTTATGGGTTATAAGGATCCAGGTTTTGGTCCTCACATTTTCATGGCAAATTTTTATGCCCGGAGCCATCTTCCCAGTCCACTTCATGGTCAACTTTTTGATGAATTGCCAAACTGTTGTCCACAGAGCAACTGCACCAATCTCCGTTCTCACAGCAGCAATGCAGGGAGTCCTCGTCTATCCCCCTTTGTCAACACCTTCCCTTTTCTGTCTTCCTGAGAGATCACTGGTGATAGCTAGTAGCTGTGAGCCCCATCCCACGGTGACCACATTGGTTTTCATCTCTGATGGCGAGTGCTGCCTCTAGTGGCCATTGACGTGGCTGCTGGGGAGAGAGATCTGTTGAGGTCCATGAGATGGTTTTGGGGCTTTTTTTGTTGCAGAACTGAAGACGTTTTCGTGTTTAGGATCCCTCATCAGACTCAGAATTGCAAGTGCTCACCGTCACTTCGTGGGGTGTCTTCACTGTTTGTGGCGTCCTCTAACACGAAGGAGTGGTTCATTTTGATAGCATGTAGCTTTCAGTTCTTTTCTTGGTTTACATTCAGTGTCATAACTAAGAAATCAGCAAGCCTGCACTCATGAAGGCGGCCTCTGCTTTTATTTGACTCCTGTGGTTTTCTCTATTTGGTTTAGATCTTCCATCCACGTTGGTTTTTGTCCTGTTTTGTTTTGTTTTGTTTTGTTCTGAGATGAGGGTCTCATTGTGTTGTCCAGTGTTGCTTTTGGTTAGACTTAAGCAGTCTTCCTACCTCAACCTCTTGAGTAGCTGAGGAACCTGCCACCACTTCCAGCTCATGCATTTTTACATATAGTACAAGGCAAAGGTCTGGGTGCATGGATATCCACTTTTCAAATATCATCTGTTGAATTTTGTGGTTGTCATTTTAACATGTCATCACAAATGTCATTTTCAGAACTTAGAAAGTGATGTATGTTTTACTTTCTGTTTTTTAATTCGACTTCACGAGTAGTTCTTGTTCTAAGGATTATGCCCAGAGGGGCTCCCTGACTTGCCTTGTTCTCCACAAAGATGAGTCTAAAGTTCCTAGAACACACCTGGCACAGTGACTGGCAGTTGGATATGTGATGCCTGCTCACATAGTCTAACATGGATTTTTATTGAAGGCATTTTTATAGCTTCATCTTTATGCAGAATATTTCTGCATGTGTCCATGAAGAACATTTCAGGCAGCAGGAAGAGGCAGAAGGCCAGAGAATACTCATCCAGGGCTCACAGGTAGGGTGACTTGAGTGCAGCTGTGGGAATCTTTGTGATGCATGTTGTATGATAGCTGGGTGTTGGAAGGTAGGGCAGGGACAACTCTATTACATTTACATATTAAAGGAGGGTTATGTTTTGAGCATCAAATGGGCACAATATCTGTCTTTAATCATGCTGCCCTTTCCTACCCTTATACATGATCAGAGACCATGATGTCAAGATGAGCAGTGAGCTGTGGTATCTGTAAACACCTCCCCAGGATAAAAGACTTCCCCCTTGATTCCCAGGGAGCCAGGCCCTGCTGAACTAGGCAATGAGGGCAGCCCCCCAAGAGGGTGCAGCATGGATGCAAAGACTTGAGCCAGCCTGGGCATGGTGGCTCTTCTTTTCAAGGTGAATCACAGCCACAAGAAGCAGGCATCACAAATAAACGCCGCATGCTCCTGTGCAGCCAAGTGTGTGGGCTCCTCTCATATGATGTATTGTATCCCCACTGCTTTATGCTTGTGCTTAGGACATTTCCTCTTCCTGTCCTCCCTGCAGACTACATCCAAGGCCCACTCTGTGGATTGCTATTGGATACTGCTTTTGCCTGGCTACTATGCATGCACATGTGCCATATAACATGGATAGCATGGGCCAATACTGAGGCAACATATTCCCGCCAGAGTGGGGATTGT